AGTAAGATTGTGTATACACGTGAAGTAGTGAGCGTGTGAGTGAGGCCATACAATGAGTGGAACCCCTCTCATCAGTACAATACCTGAGGCACACAGTAAGATTGTGTATACACGTGAAGTAGTGAGCGTGTGAGTGAGGCCATACAATGAGTGGAACCCCTCTCATCAGTACAATACCTGAGGCTCACAGTAAGATTGTGTATACACGTGAAGTAGTGAGCGTGTGTAGTGAGGCCATACAATGAGTGGAACCCCTCTCATCAGTACAATACCTGAGGCTCACAGTAAGATTGTGTATACACGTGAAGTAGTGAGCGTGTGAGTGAGGCCATACAATGAGTGGAACCCCTCTCATCAGTACAATACCTGAGGCTCACAGTAAGATTGTGTATACACGTGAAGTAGTGAGCGTGTGAGTGAGGCCATACAATGAGTGGAACCCCTCTCATCAGTACAATACCTGAGGCTCACAGTAAGATTGTGTATACACGTGAAGTAGTGAGCGTGTGAGTGAGGCCATACAATGAGTGGAACCCCTCTCATCAGTACAATACCTGAGGCTCAGCTCTTTCTGAAGCTCTTCAGCTCTTATTGCCAGCTGCTCCCTCTTTCTTCTGTTCTCTTCCTCCCTCTCAGCCATCTCCTCCTTCACCTCTCTCAGCTTCAACTTCAGCTGTAGCGGTACAACACACCCTCCTCCCCTGTTCTTACCCACCAAATGAGAAAACTATCTTAGATCTCTTCCATTAGATTGCAGATCAGCCCATCATAGGTTGTCCTCAACCTACTCCACCTTGTTCAGTTTCCTTGTCCGTGACTCCACCTCATCTTTGAGAGAGGAGAAGGTCTCTCTGATCTCCTGCTGCTCCTCTTCCCTCTTCTCCAGCCGCTCCACCATCTCCCTCTCCCTCATCTGACGGTCACATGATCTCCTGTCAGGGTCACATGACAGTCACGTGATCGGCCCACCTTCTGACGAGCCACTTCCTGTTGCTGGAGGTCCAGTTTCCTCTGCTGCTCGTGGGTGTGGTCAATGATGCTCCACCCACCCACCAGGAGCTTGCTCTCCATCGTCTGAAAATGGGCGGAGTTTCACCTCCTGCAATAATTAGTGATTGGAAACTCACCTTTATTTTGGCTGCAAGTTCGTCTCTTTTCTTCTGTTCTCTCTTCAGTCTGTCCACTTTCTGCTGCACCTCAGCCACTAGCTGCTGTCTCTCCTAATAATATTGGTGGACATTTAAAAAAAGATTTCGCCTCAAATATTGCCATTTGTAATCAGGCATGTATTACCCAAAGCAGTTACAACACCACTACCACCCCACCAAGTTCTCTGACCTCCTGGACCAGGCCTGTGTTGTGAAGCAGAGCCTCTTTCTCGGCCTCCAACTGGTGCTGTTGTACTGCCAGACTTTGTCCCCTCCCCTCCTCCCCTCCTCCCTCCTCCCCCTCACTCTCTTCCCCACTCCCCACTGCACCGATAACACAACACACTCAACTTACGAAACTCGACCCCTTCCTCTGCTAAAGGTGGGGTCTGGACAGAGGCCTCTCTCTTACTGTCAGCAGTGGTCCTGAACCGTCTCCCTTCTCCTCCCTTCCTCCTCCTCCTCTCCAGAGCTGACTTTAGTCTCAGAATCTCCTCCTGGAACTCTCTTAGGAGAGCATCCTTTGGGTCCTCGTTGATCCTCGGTCTGTTCTTGATGCTCTTCGCTCTGTTGGCATACCTGTAGGTACAGTATCACATGACTGTCATGTGACCCAGTGAGTGTAGTCACATGACCTGAGAGTGATGAGGGTCTCCTCATAGTTGTAGTCTGCGGGGCCAATGTTGGCCACCATGACGGTCTTGGCGTTTCCTCCTAGGGAGTCCTGTAGTAATCGAGTCAGCTGAGAGTCACGGTAGGGGACGTGGGTCTGCCGAGAGTCCACCAGAGCTGATATCACATTCCCCAGGGCTGAGAGTGACAAGTTGATCTTTGTCGATTCGTCAAACCTCTCTCCCTACATTCAGAGACTACAGCAGTAAATCTAACACTGACTCATTCATTATACAGTGGAACCCCTCTCTAATGACAAAGGACACATTGTTAAATGCTGAAAAAAGACACCTTCTTCTGTCTCAATGGTGTCTAGATTAGAGGGGCTCCACTATAATGAGAGGGACTAACAGTAGCACCAGTTTTGCTCTGCCTCTCACTGCCAGCCAAATCCACCAGATTCAACTTCCCCACGTGAATATGATCCTCTCCATCCTCTCCTCTCTGTGAGCGAGGGGTGGGGTCAGAGGTCAGGTGTGTAATACGGTGACTTACAGAGCAGCATTCGACTGTCAGGATGAATATGGCATGAGATCTGGACGAGTGTTGGTTCATGTTAGTGGGGCTGCGGGGAAGCGTGGGAAGTGGAAGATTTGACTGGAGTACAGAGAGAGAGAGACTCACCCAACCTTCCTGTGCTCAGCTCCCACTGACATCACGTGCTCCACTTCTCTCACACTCTTGGCCACAAATGACGACAGATCCTAGAAATGGAACAAGTTGTCCTTCATCTCCCCTTCCCTACATACGGTCTCTCTGTGTGTCTCCTTACCTCCACATAGACTCCAGTGTCTGGATTCTCTCTCACTTTCAGTCGGCGCTTGTGGTCTTTACTCAGAAGATCCCTCACCTCCTCCTGTACATACATACATACAACAGAGGAATAGGCAGAACACAGTGGAACACTCAAATAATGCCACAGAACTCTTCTTGGAGAGACACAAGGCGTTAGAGAGGTGTCCTCAATTCAGGAGTGTTCCTATGCTGGTCGACCTTGTAAATCTCGAGGTAGGACACTCTGACTAGGTACTGCTCATCATGGGTCTTGGAAATGTTGGAGAAGATGTGGTCAAAGGAGTTGGGAATGAGCCCCTGATTCTGGGGGTCTCCTCTCTCTCCGGTCATGGTGTACGTCTTCCCCGAGCCAGTCTGACCATAGGCAAACACCGTACCTGCAATCAATATCCCACATAGTCATTTGTTTCCAGAGAGGGGGGAGAGGAAGAGAAGGAGAGGAATACTCACCATTGTATCCCTGGAGAACGGCCTCCACAATAGGTCTGAACGTTCCGTCGTACAGCTGTTTCTGTTCGGAGCTGAAGAAGGGGGTGGGGCTCGGTTGCAGTGGAAACAACGACGGATTGTGGGAACTCACGTCCAGTCGTAGACGGCGTCGAAGGTGAACCGTCGCTCGGTGTCAGCTGTCCGCCCTTCCCTCGCTAGCATGGACACCTCTCCTCTCGTGGAATCCATGGAGACTACCCTACATATAGTGTCGGTAGAATGGGCGAGACATCGAGAGGGCGAGTAGCTGTTCTCTCACCTGGTGTAGTTGGCTGCAACCTCGTCCGGTAGGAGCGGTCTGCACCTCACTACAACCTTCACGCTCTCTTCCTTCTTGCTCTGGAGAGACAGACTCATTGGCGGGGGCACTAAAAGCAGTACCGGCTGGCCCACCATTGTAGTGATTCCACTGCAGCTGAAGCTCTGATATCACTCAAAACAAGGATAAAATGTACTCAGGCACTGAAGACAAGGCGACTAGTCTAGCTGACAAGCCATAAAGCAGAACAGTAGCTACAAAGTAACATGCAATCGCGCTAGAACCTAATAGCACAGTACGCGCGCATGCGCATTTGGCGCGCGCACGTGCCCTTTCTGCGCGCTCTTTTCGAAGCAAAAAGAGTGTTTTAACCATGGAGGATTGGCCGTGCTGTGGCGAACACGGGGCTCCATGTGTCCTGAAGACGGGGACTCGGTCAGGCCCCTCATTTGGAAGAAACTACTTCATCTGCAGTAGGAGTACCCCATGCCGTTTCGTCCTGTCTGCAACAGAGTAAGGCCCCTCTCTCCCCACGCTTGGGAACCCTCCCTCCCTTTCTCTCTCTCCAGGGCTCCAACTATGGCGTGTCCTGTCCATGAACAAATGGTGACAGTAAGATGCCTGACTAAAGATAAGAACAAAATGTGAGTATATGTTGCCCATGAGTGCCATTAGTCTTTGTGGACACATTAAGCACACGTGCATCTCTCCCTCATAGGATCCGGTATCGCTGCACAGGGTCAAAGGGGTCGTGGTGTGGTTTAACTCAGTGGAATGAAGACAAGGAGAACTGTAGTCCAAACCTGTCCGTTACCAGTGGAACACTCTCTCCTGTCAAGAAGAGAGTTGTGGTCTCCAGTGAGGAGGAGGAGGAGGAAGAGGGAGGAGAGGAGGAGGAGGAAAAAGAAGTTGACGGGGAAGGAGAAGATGAGTTGGAGGAAGAGACTGAAGAAGGGGCGGTAGAAGAGAGAGTGGAGGAAGAGACTGAACTGGGAGAGTTCGAAGAAGTGCAAGAGGTGGACGAGGGAGAGGAAGAAGAAGAAGAGCAAGAGGTGGACGAGGGAGAGGAAGAAGAAGAAGAGGGAGAGGAGAGGAAAGAAGAAGAGGGAGAAGCGAGGGAGGTGGAAGAGGTGCAGGAGGAAGTGGAGGGAGAGGTGGGGGAAGGTGAAGGAGCAGAGCAAGTGTATGTTTCTGATGAAAGTAGTGGTGTTAGTGGAGAAGATGGTGAAGAAATCGGAGATGGATCGGTAAATGAAGAGGGGGAAGGTGGTATATCGGTGAGTGAGGATGGGAGAGGGAGGAAATGGCGGGGGGAAGGGCAAGGAAGCAGTGGGGAGGATGAAGAGACTGAGGACGAGGATGAGGAAGAAGAGGAGGTGTTGTGTGAGATAATGCCACCGGTGATTGTCAGTGGAGAGAAAGAAGAGATGAGTGAAAGTGAAGCAGTGACAGTGGGGAGTGGGGGAGGAGGAGAGGAGGGGGATTGTGAGGTGGTGGAGGTCGAGAAGGCTCCCAGTCCGGAGTTTCAAGGTCGGGAGTCAGTACAGAACCCTCTACAGGCAGCTACAGCAGATCGAGGTACGTCCACAGACCCACTACTACATGGTACATCCTGGACTCTCTCTCTCTCTCCCTGTGGCTCAGTCTCTGCTGCAGAACATGGCACACAGACTTCCTGACGGAGGAGTCAAGTTGAGAGAGCAGCGGAAAATGGTGATGAATAGAATCAGTGAGATGAAGAGGGTCCCTCCTCCTGACCTCTCTGCCAACAGACCTGTACACGCTCCCAGCGGAGGTGACAAGGTACAGGTTTAGATGCTCATGTTCATACACAATGACATGCCCATCCTCTGTGCCGAGGGTTTAGCATTAGTCCATTATGACGAACTGCTTTTTCTCTATCTGCAGTTGTTTCAGAGAGGGCTCAACCTGCAGGCAAGACTTCTTACCTCGGGGGTCGTTGAACAGCTTCACAGGTATTATCGTACTGCTGCATAATATCCCTCTTACCCCCTTAACCCCTTCACCACTGACATACACACACACACACACAGGTCCTTGGAGACGTGTCCCACAGCAGACACACTGGCTCCACAGCCCTCGGATCTCACTGCCACGCTCTTCCCTCACCAGCAGAGAGCCCTGGCCTGGTTGCTATGGCGAGAGAAGCAGACCCCCAGCGGAGGGATCCTCGCTGACGAGATGGGACTTGGGAAAACCCTGTCCATGATCTCGTTAATCCTCCAGAACCCCTCGGACCACTCCCACCACTCTGACGGTGAGGCCACACCCCATCCCTAGAGAGGAAATACAGCTGTTGTGGCCGTGGTTTGTGTGTTCATGGGGGGAGAGAGAATTGTGTATAGCTAGGGCTAAAACTCTGAGTGTGTTTGGGCAAAGGTCTATCTATAGGTATACTCTGTCATTGCTGGGTGTCTGTTGGCAGATCTGATGAGTAGTCGAGCCACTCTAGTGGTGTGCGCGCCCTCCCTCATCCATCAGTGGGCCGCTGAGATTGACTCCAGACTGCATCGTAATACTCTCTCTGTCCTCATTTACCACGGTTCCAAGAGAACAAAGTTCCCTCAGGGGTGAGTCCTCCTCTCTTACCCTCCTCCGTCTCATCTTCCTCCCTCTCTCTCTCTCTCCTCTCTCTCGTCTCTCTCTGTCCCACCACTGCAGACTGGCAGACCACGATGTGGTGATCACTACATATGACACAGTGGGAGCTGAGGGCGCATCTTCTCTTGACACTGTTAGTCCCTCCCCCCTCCTTTGAATACCTTTTGCTCTCCACCTAAATTTTAATACTAAAAATTATAGATGAGCAAACGCTAGTGCAAAGTGTCAGAGGCTTTAGGTTGTTTCATGTATTTTGGTATGTGCAAAGCTTGTCACATACCTGTTGATAAGTCAGTCAGTTAGATGACTAAGTAGGCTTGGTTGACTCCTGTTCTCCCTCTCTCGTCCAGGAGGAGGCGGGGACTGGAGGTAAGAGGAGACGTCGAGTGGCGTCCACTACCACTCTGTTCCAGGTCTACTGGTACCGCGTCGTCCTTGACGAGGCTCATAAGATTCGTAACCCCAAGACAGCCATGGCTGTCGGTGTCTCTGGACTCAAGAAAGGTGGGAGGACACTACCGTTCTGCACTCTCCCTAACCTTTTGTTTGAAGATCATTTGCAATGTTGAAAGTTTTGAAGAACTATTTGTGTAGCAAAACAAGTAATCTCTGAATGAACAGGGTTTCCCCTCATTAAAAAATGGCCCACTATTGTGAATATTCACAGCTTGGTATTTTGGTGATTTTGCCTAACATCGGCTTCAGTGGTCAGCCAGCACTGAGTCTCTGAGGCAGTGTGACCACCCGGTATTGATGTTCTCCCATCAGTCCACAGGTGGGCGGTGACAGGGACACCAGTGCAGAACAAACTGACAGACCTTTACAGCCTCATCAAGTTCCTGGAGCTAGCTCCTTTTGACGACATCAGAGAATGGAAACATTCCATCGAGAGGAAATGTTAGCAAACAAACTACTGCTTCTGTCACATAGTATTGCACACTTCACTACCCCATACCATACATGTAATTTACACATATTAATGTACATTAACCTGAGTGTGTGATGTCCAGCGGTGGTGGGTATGCAGAGACTGAGGACCATGATAGCAGTGCTGGTACTGAGGAGGAGCAAAGAGGACATTGCCTCCACTCACAAACTGCCCGACAAGATCATAAACACACACACCCTCGACCTCGGCATGGAGGAACAGAGTATCTATGATGCTCTGTTCACTGAGGCCAGGTCTCGTTCCCATGTCCCCATTCCTCCATTCCAAGTCACATCCCTTCCTCTCCTCTCCCTCCCTCTCTACCACAGGAAGGTGTTTGTGAGGTTCCTGACGGAGCAGAGAGGAGAGGGAGAGGAGACAGACTCGCCAGCCAAGACCAACTCAACAGGCAACACCCCACCGGCTGTCCTTCTCCCACCTCCCGTCCAGCGTTGTCTTGACAACATTCTCGCTTCATTCAAAGACGGCTCTGTGAGACAGGGAGCTGTGTTGGTGATGTTGCTCAGGTAGGCCCCCCTCTCCTCTCTTTCTGTCTTCTGTTTTAGAGCATTCACAATGGGTGTTTTTCCTGTTGGACAGGTTGAGACAGTGTTGCTGTCATCCTGGGCTGATGGTGAGTGGAGCACAGGATGTAGACCTGGAGGAGGGGCTGGAGGAGGCTCTGGACTCTCTCTCCCTGGATCACGTGACCCGGGTGAGCTGTCATGTGACTCCAGAAAGTTGTCATGTGATCCCAACAAACTCTCAGTTGAAGGATGTGTCACTCCTTCCACCACCGTTCAGGGAACAGAGACTAAGTACAAAGGTTAGTCAGAGATCATGTGACTGTCACATGATCCTCATGTGACCTATAGATCTGTGAGGTGCTGAGGGAAGTGAGGAGGATAAGAGGTCTTGATCCACCAGAGAAATGGTAGGGTTCTCCCCATCTTGTTCTTCATTCCCCTCCCCCTCAGTATCGTAGTGTCCCAGTGGATTGGTCTACTGGATATCGCCAGGTTCCAGTTGGACTCCGCCGGGATCTCCTGGACCAGCATCGACAGCAGGTAGGCCCCACCCACTGACCACACCCACCACTCCCTCTCTCCTTGGCCCTAGAGTCTCTCCCAAACAGAGGAGTTTGAATGTGTCCAGTTTCAACTCTGCCAAACCTGACCCTGCTGTGAGTCACCACTGCAGCACCAAATTTTTAGCATTTCACAGCTGTAAAAATGTTTGCCCCTATAATTTTTTGCTGCTCTCGTGTGTGTGTGTGTGTGTGTGTGTGTGTGTGCAGGTGATGCTGCTATCGATGATTGCTGGAGGAGAGGGACTGAATCTTGTCGGAGGTAACCACGTCTTCATGTTGGATCTCCACTGGAACCCTGCCGTGGAGCTGCAGGCAACAGACCGTGCACACCGCATGGGGCAGACCCGAAATGTCCACGTACACAGGTTCACTATATACAGACTTCAGACACGAGGTCTAATGTGGCATGTGTTGTGTGCTAGGTTTGTGTGCAGAGGAACAGTAGAAGAGAAGATTCAGCTCCTGCAGACCAAGAAACTGCAGCTCTCTGCCTCAGTACTCTCAGGGTTAGCCAGCAGAGCCTCTTACACACACACCTGCCTAAGATCTTCCTCCTCCTCCTCCTCTCCCTTTCTCTCTCTCTGCAGAGCTTCCAGACCAAAGCAAGGGAACAGACTGACTCTGCAAGACCTCAAAGTTCTGTTTCAAGTTGAGTAGCTAACTAACCAACACCAACAGTAAAACTTTTAATCTCTCTGATTCTCGCTCACTTCAACAATCTTTCCACTTCCCCACATGATTTGTTCTTTGAGTTCAATGTAATTATTCACACTCATCATCATCGTCTATATACAAATACCTTTATGTATGTACACTACAGAAGAGACAAATATGGAAAATGACGACAAACAATGACCGGCTTGGCAACAGGACCAGATTATAGTGTCACACACGCACACTGCAGAACACTAACTATGAGTAGCCTGTGGCAGTGGGTATGTGGAGAATCAGTCGTATATAACAGGAGAGCAAGAAAATATATAGGGACTTATGAGGTCAGCGTTTCTCCAGCTCAGCGATGGGGACCATTGCCTCGTCAGTCTCCTCTCCGTCTGAGGAGCTCTCTCCGTCACTGACCGGGAGGAGCTCGTGACCCGACTTGCTCCGGGCCCGTCTCACCAGGAAGAAGATGAAGAGGAGGATGTGAACAACTACTAGCATCGTCAGCAGAACCATTGCTAGCCATGACGTAACCTGCGGTAAATTGATAATGATTAGGTAATGTGTACTGACACACACAGGAGAGACAGAGTGGGAGGAGAGACAAGCTTCAGTCCATGTTTTACCATTGACTTGTAGATGTCTGGATGAAAACGTACACCTTCATATGCAGGAGTATTGGGGCAGGGTAAAGTGTAGTTACTGCACCTGTAGACCAGTGGGAGAGCATACATTACTGGCGTGCAACTTAAGGTACCAAACCGACTCCATCATGGAGTGGACCAGGACTCACCCTCCGGTAGATGAAGCAATCTTGTTGTACTCTGAACAGGTAATGGCCAGACCGATAGAGATTGTGACACTGACACAAAAGGCAAACACCGCATGGAGCACAAAGACTGGAATCTCACATGCCAGCATCCACGTCGCCCTGAAACATGGGTAGAGAGGCAGGAGGGCTTGTTAGTGGGCAATCAAACAGAGCTGTTGTCAAACTACCCTCTTTCCTATGGTTGTTTATTACATGCCAGCTTCCTTCACAGCTATTGTGGAACTCTCCTGGCAGGGCCAGGGGTTCTAGCTAAAAGGCTCGGTCACAGGCTCACAGGTGGAATCCAGCAGACGTCTTTATGATCATCCACACGACAAGGAGAGCCGCTGCAACGGCGACTGCCACCTCACCGAATATCGAGAACACGCAGCCGTGGTTGGAGCCCAAGTCCATGCCCTTACTGCTATCACTGTAACTGGCGAACAACACGCACTTTTGGTTCTCGTTCGGCAGCCGTAGATCTCCGACTCTCTCGTTGATGACGGCGAAGTAACTGAGGGAGGTAACGGCCAGCGCCATGACTAGCAGGAGAGGGAAAATCAGGCAGCCGTGGAAGATCCGGGAGCCTGGGTTACGGATGGTACGCGTAGAGGGAAAGACGGTCGTCTCGAACGGCTCTACTTCTTGCTTCTCGTCCTCAAAACCCTCCATGTTTTTGCCAGCTACACACACACACCTTCACTCCCAAAAAAGGTGGGGCGCTAAAAAACTAGTGGGGTGATTTACGCAGGGCGCGTAACAATCATTCTCCGTATATTCACACCCAAACCGTAAAAAAACACCGTATACTACCGAGGTCCAACGACAGGGAAAGTCATCTCCAAGAAGTCGTCCAGACCAGCAGTGATGGTCTGACCAGGAACAACAGGCCCCACCCCCTCCGGTGTACCCGTCAGGATGAGGTCGCCTGGTTCAAGAGTGAATATGGAGCTGATGAAGGCAAGGAGGTCTGGGATGGGGAAGATCATGTTGCTAGTGGAGCCCCTCTGTTTCTCCTGGCCATCCACTTTGAGCCACAGAGTGCAGCTGCTCCAGTCCAGCTGGTCACGATCGATGAAATCACTCACTGGACAAAACGTGTCGTATCCCTTGGCAACACTCCAGGGGTGCCCCTTCTTTTTGGCTTCGTTTTGTAGATTTCGAGCAGTCATGTCTAGAGCCAGAGCGTAGCCGGCAACATGGCTCAGAGCGGATGATTTGGGGATGTCCCTGCCTTCTTTCCCAATCACCACACCCAGCTCAACCTCATGGTGTAGCTCCGTCACTCTGGGGGGAATCTGGGTGCGAAGGAGAGCAGCAGAGAAAGAGAGTGTGGCGGGAGAGAGGGGGGAGGGAGAGGCTAACCACAATAGGCCTCCCCTGAGTCACGTACGAGGAGGTAGGCTTGAGGAAAACCATCGGCTGCTCTGGTACAGTGTTCCCCAGCTCTGCCGCATGAGCCCTGCCGACAACTGACTCGTTAACTCACGATAAAATGGCTGCTTCCCCACCTGTAGTTTCTTCCCACCGCCACAATCTTCCTCCCTAGACGAACAAACTGTCGAACGTCCATCTAGATCTCAGCTCGTCTAGAAAAAGGGGCGTGGTCGTTCGCGGGGAAACCGTGTGGTGGGCGTTATTTAGAACCTAAGAGTGCCGGCTGTCCTTTTCTCATCGAGAAAGTGAGCGAAAATGTCTAGCGAGCAGTTCCTGAGAGGCGTTAATGCACTCATCTTGGACGCGGGACTGGGCAAGGCTCGTGCTCGTATTCTCCGCCAGCGACTGGAGGAGAAAGGAGGACAAGTCTTGCCATGTCTCTCCCCCGCCGCCACCCACGTCCTAGTAGGGAACAACGTCCGCCAGAGTCGCTTGCCTTCTCTCCTCGGCTGCACTGAGATCCCGAGAGGTGTCCGGGTGCTACGTGCGGACTGGCTGAGCGCTTGCCTGGTAGCGAGGGAGCGTGTGGCGGAGAGCAGGTATGAGCTACCTCTGGAGAGCGCCAGCTGCAGTCCCGCCACAGTGAAGGCGGATCCTCCTACTGTCAGGAGCCCCCCAGAGACTGGGAGAACTGGGGGAGGGGTTGGGAAGGAGGAGGAGGGGTGTGAGCCAGTCGTAAAGGAGGAGGAGAGAGTGACAGAAGGAGAGACAACCGAGGAGGAGGAGGATGAGAAGAAAAACCACCAAGTCACGGAAGAGACCCAAGTCATTCCTGACAGGGTGGGTGTATTAAAATCACAGTGTGCATATACATGGCCCATAAACTGTTATAGCAGTGAGACTGCAAAAATATTTGATCTGGGATATTTGTTGTACCATGATTTGGCACTATATACATACAGTATACATTGAGTTGGGCCATACCACCTCACTAACCTCTCCACCTCCACACACACACACAGTTCCCAACCTCCTCTAGAAAGATGGAAGTCAGAGAGCACCGCCACCACCACCACCAGCAGCAGTAGTCCCAATAAGAAGAGCAAACTCCCACCTTCCGACCCTGACAGTGATTACGTGGACTCCGGAGAAGACGAGGAGGGAGAGGGTCGACTGGCAGTTGTGGACATCAGCTCCCTCCCACCTCCTTCCAAGAGAAAGGTGAGATCTTGCAAGTCACGATTTCCTGTGGAATATGGCTGTCTGTTCCCTGGCAGAGGAGGTGGCGATGTGAAATCCCACCATCAGAGGCGCAGTCCTGGGTCAACCACAACCAGCACATCACTGACAAGCTGGAGGTAATGGTGTCGGTCTCTCTCTACAGACCGACAGACAAACAGACTTGGCTGACTGTGTGTTTGTCTGCAGGAGTTGCTGGCAGTGTATAAGAGCTGTCCAGATGACAAGTGGCGAGCGATGAGCACCACAAAGGTCATCCAGGCCATGAAGAAACACCCCAAGGAAATCACCTGCTACGAGGTGCTCTCTCCCTCTCTCTCCTGCTTTCTCTGTGTCCATGTGTCAGGATTATTGCTCTTGCTGTAGGATGCACTGACTGTACCATTCGTGGGGAAGCGTTTGGCCCAGAAGATCGACGAGATAGTAGCCAGCGGCCGTCTGCGGAGACTGGAGGCCGTGGACAAGGAGAAGCAGGCAGCTCTCTCCGCTTTTGCCAAGATCCACGGAGTGGGACAGGTCCTGGCGGAGCAGTTTTATGCTCAGGTAAACTGAGTCTCCTCCATGACTGTTGTGTAGTAGTGAGGTTGGCCTGTCCTTTCTCATTCCTTGTTAAAAGTACTTTGTTGAGTTGTACTAACCCTAGAAGAATTGAAACAAACAGACCAATCATTGTGCTGCCATTGAGATGGTGTTGACAAGTGTATGGAGAGATGAAGGAGAGCATGTGGTGTCCAAACTGGTACTTGAGACTAATTGGCTAATGACTTACAAATCCAGCAGAGGTCAAGGTCAGCTTTATACGGCCTCCAGGCAATAGGGCTTCCGTTTCGCTTCCCTCCTGTACGGAACAGCAGAGCACCACTAAATCTAATCAATTATTCCTAGAGTCTTCTGGGTGGCCGCCGGGCAGAGGTAACGCAGGGCTGTCGGGACTTCAGTCTCAGGCACCTAATACTATCTGTGTCTGTCTGTGTGTGTGTGTTGTGTGATCAGGGGTACAGGAGTGTGGAGGAGCTGGCTGCCAGTGGTGTTCTAAACAGACAGCAGAGGATCGGAGTCAAGCACTACACCGACTTCCAGGAGAGGATGCAGAGAGAAGAGGTGGCCGAGATTGAGCAGAGGGTGAGGAGGCGGGGCCTGTCTCCTAGCAACGTTATCAGGCTGCGGGTGTATATACCTTCCCCTCCCCTTATCTTTCTGTCTTCTAAAATACTTGTGGCATTGTGCAGTGTTGGTTCTGATGTGTGTATGTTCCGCGAGAATGATTGAATGTTTGTGTTTAGTTTTTCCGTTGGCCGCGGGAGAGCACGAGCACGGCTGAGTTGCCCTGGGCTGCAGCGCTGGGCACCGCTGGTAGTGTTTTCTACAAGTGGTCAGCCTCAGATGAGTGCAGGTGTGTGGCTGCATGTGTGTGTGTGGTTTAGAGTAGCACTCATTCGAGACAAAAACAGCCTGACACACTCTCCGACTCATTCACTCACTAGTTGTACACAGCGCCCCCCCTTGTTCCTGCTGCAGGTGAGAGAGCTGGCTCAACAGATAGACCCTGGACTGGAGGTGGTGACTTGTGGGTCTTATCGTCGGGGCAAACTCACCTGTGGCGACGTGGACATCTTGGTCACCCACAGCGACGGCCGCTCGCACCGTGGAGTCCTCCCAAAGTTGACCCAGGAGGGGAGGGAGAGTGGTGAGTGTGTCACAGAGAGAGAGAGAGGAGAGGGAGGGCAGTGGGAGCTGTGGGCATGGGGCAGCTGTGGCATTGATAAACTGTAGGGTTTCCATGTAGCAGTCTAAACTTGATAGCATGTTCCAGTACATGTGTAATCCTCCCTCTCCCCTGTGGGTAGGATCCTTCAATAGTTCTATCATCTGCTGGTATTATAGTAATTGTCAGTGGAGCTCCACTAACTTGCAGCAGTGGCATATATACATATACCTCAGTTGGTCTTTATATTTCGTCTTTGTGATCTCATCATGTAAATGAACAGCTCACAAGAGAAGTAGCATCTCTCTCTGCCTCTCATCTGTCACTCCATTATCGTCCATTAGTGTAGCTACCGGTGTCCCGTGTGTCCAGTAGACCAACTAGCCCCATCACCTCTCTATGTGTAGACACACACTCGTTGGACAATGTCACTCTGTATCCGGGAGGGAGTCAACAGTTAGGCTGTTCGGTCGGAACACCTTGTGTAGTTCCGCTGTAATCTGGTGTCAGAGACATGTGTCCCCCTGTCGAATATCGCTGTGTTGGTGTTCGGTGCATGTGAGCAAAAGGTGTTTGTGCAGAGGCCAGCACTAGCAGGCTTGTTCGGAGACTGTTGAGAGTCTGTAGACTCGAGTCAACAGGTTGTCACGCTATTCACACAGCCTGTAGCCAGTGACATGTTTCCATGCCCTCGGACACGGACTACGGTCGAGGCCCCCCTCACATGGTGTCATCCCCCTCTCCCCTCCCTCCCCTCTATCTCCGCAGGGTTCCTCACTGATGACCTCAGTATCCACAACAACCCCAATGGAGGAGGGAAGTACCTTGGAGTCTGCAGACTGCCTGGACAAGACAGAAAGGTTCAATTCACCCCCATCCCCCCTCCCTCCCTTCTCAGTGCACTCTCTCTCTCATCTCATCCTGAATCTCCCTCTCCTGTTCCACTTGCATATTGATCTCCTCTTTCGAACCATCAAAGGCTCTATGTAATCCTCCCCCACTTATTCTTTGCAATTGTTTCCCTTAGTTTCTCGTCTTCTCTGATTGTATATACTGGTTTATGTAAAGGGGTGAGGTGTGTACACTAGTTCCTCTGTCCCTTTGTTGGAAAGGTTAAGGTTAACTACACACCTGCCTGACTGTGGTTGAGAGGGTGCAAAACACACGTCTTTCTCTACCTCTTTTCCGCCTCTCTTTGAAGAGCGAAGGAAAGAATTTCCTGCCGCTGTTCCCTAAGGACCTCTCTCTCTGTCCACTTTCACTCGAGACAAGTTGCATGTGGGGTCTCTGGCTCTCTGCCCAAAGACTCCAATTTGTTTGCCAGTGTGTCAGAGCATATGTGTGTTTGGCTGTTCATTGTCAAGCCCAATGACAGCCTATTTTTCCCAGCTGGTCCGGCGACAGGTAATCGGCATGTTTGCCCTACTGTGTGATCTGGTCAGTGTGTGTGTGTGTGTGAGTGTTTGTGCGTGGTCTGCAGCTACCACCTCTCCTCTCGCTGGCTCCTCTGCCCGCACACTCCATTTTCAGTTCGGCTAAGAATAACTAAGGATAGAAACTCTGGCTGTTGTCTTATCCAGTTCTCACCCTCCCCTCTTCCTCCCCCTCCCCCTCCCTCCTCGCTCACAGTACCGCAGAATCGACATCTACGTAACTCCGTATGCACAGTTCCCCTGTATGTTGCTACACTTCACGGGCTCAGGTCACTTCAACCGCTCAATCAGAAGCAAGGCCGACAAGCTGGTAAGTCTCCTCCCACCATCCCCAGTGTCTCTTCTTACAACATATGGATTGTGTCGTTCTGCATTCCTGAATACCTATTAGTGAGAGAGAGTCATTGCCAAATGCTGCCCAGCCAGCAATGAAATTACAATTACCCAAAGTAATTATCTTTGAATTTTAGGGGATGTCCCTCTCTGAGCACTCTCTAAACATTGGAGTAATTAGAAAGGTTAGTCTCTCTATTGGCTGCATTACAGCTGGCAAAATGGGCCTTTGAGCTGGTTTAGCAGAGGAAACCTTTCTGTGAGTGGATGAGCCAGTGGACACAACTCGTCTCCCTCCCCCTCCTCCCCCCTCCTCAGTCTCCCTTCTCTGTTTCTTACAGTGTTGAAAGCACACCAATAAATATTTACTGGAGGAGCTGTGCAAACAGCGGCATGTGCCCACCCCCTCTCACTATGTTACAGGGCAGCTAGGCAGGTTTCTGCCTTGGGCTGAGCTTTTCACCCTCCCAGCTAGTCTTATTAATCATTTCCCTCCAGAATGGAGTCAAGGTGTTTGAAGGGACGCCAGTGCCAGTGTTCAGCGAGCAAGATGTATTCAAGTACCTGGACCTTCCTTACAGAGAGCCCACAGAGCGAGACTGGGACTAGGCAACTGGAGTAGGAGCCATGTTACCTGACCACCACCATCCCACACCATACACACTCCTCTCTGATGTATGGTAAATGCAGCTGTGAACAGAGAGTCCTATTGTTTCACTGGAGTGCAGTTTTGAGTTTGTTTATTCTGTTTTCTGTTAGTTTTTTGAGAATGTGTTCGGAAAGACTAATGCCCCAACTTGTCCTATTCACTTCTTACATGGCAACTGGTGCGTCAATTGTCCACGCTGTTCGAGTTTGCTCGTTCTGACGCAAGACGTACTTGTTACACATACATACGCACACCTTGCGTATGAACGACGGTACAACAACGCGCGCTCACCGTGATCGGTCCGTAAAAGTTGGCCACGCCCACCTAGCGGAGGGCTCTCCCTAGAAAAGTCGCTGCGCTGCAGCAGTGCTCCACTAGCTAAATAGTTAGCAGTCTCGAAACAAACCTTGAAGATCAGCCCGAGGTATGTTGTTACGGGAGGGTGCACGTATTTCCATCTCAGACTGCATGCAGCATGCTGCATGGAGGCGTTGCAAGGTGCAGCTAGTCGAAGCACGGACTGAGCTTGCAGCAGACGCACGCAGGCGGCGAGGGCTATCTGCAGACCTGCGTTTGTGTTAGAGCAGCATGCAGGACGTGGTACGGGCTGCAGAGTGAGCGGAGGGAAGCCCTGGCGCGGTCACGTTGTCAGGAGCGCGATGCACCCCTGCTTGCGACGGAATGCCGCTTTGGCTGGCGCGCTGTTGAGGCCTAGTGGGCGCTCGCTAACTCGTCTCCTAGACTTTGCCAGCAGTGCATGCAACACAGGAGCTGGGCATTAGTTTGCAAGACAGTCGTCGCCAATTTAGGGACTTTGTGTTTACGCAGTCGAGCCCTCCCGCGTGGAAGTCGCTTCTGTGATAAGATACTGCAACCAGCTAGCTGTGTTCTACCTGTTTTTGCAGAGCCTTCCTGACCTGCGGCCGTTCCTCAATGACCTGCATCATGTGAGTTTCCCCAGCTCTGCAACTCAGTATACAACGTTCAAATGGGTGCAAAGCAATCCAGCATTCCGGACACTTTTTCATTGTGTGTGTGTCTGAGCTACAACTGACTTGTTCCCAGGGAATGGCAATTGATATAAAGAGGGGTCTCTGTGTAGGTAGGCAACTATTGGTGGGGTGGTCCAATTGTTGACCAATGTGTCCAAATGTGTCACTCGAGGCTGGTCGGCCAGCGATGCAAGCATGTGCAGCTGGCCGACTCGGTCTACTACTAGTGGCAAGCTAGCAGCTGAGGTTGCTGGAGTAAACTAGTGCGCCTTTTTCCAAGTTGGATATCCCGCAGCTGGCACAAACTGCAGCCTCTGATTTTCGATCCTCCTGCGATGTTATTATCCACCCACTTGAAACTCTAGTTCCTGACTAATAACATTAGCCCCTTCGTTTGATCTAATTTATGTCATTGTAGGGACCCCGTATACCAGCGGCCCCACCAGCCAATGTGGGGTCCTTCGGCTGCCCCTGTACCCACTCTGGAAATGGAGTACTATGTCACCCACCCTCCCTTCACCTCTCCCCCAGCCACACCCATGACACCAGTCACTCCACACCCGCACATTTTCAACCCCCCTCATTACGAGGCCGCCATTCCTGCCCCTCCACCAAACCCCTTCCCTCCGTGAGCTCCTCTCTCTCTCTCTCTCTCTCTCCCCATGTTCCTATATTATATCTCCATGACATCCTCCTCTCGATCACTATAATATTATAACCTATATATATAGCTTTGTTGTGTTTTGAGTGTCTGTGAGTGTTACTCTCTGTGCTGCCTGTATAGATCTTGTTGGTGAGTAGGCAAGTCATGTTCGTGTGGTGTAAAGCTTACACACTCGGAGTGTAAACACTGCTCAGGTGACCAGCCGGTTTGCCTTCCATTCCGCTCTCACACACACACACACACATGCTAGCTGATCTGCTGTGCTAGCTACAGCCCTGTAATGAACCCTGTGGATTGATTTAGGCCAATTATTAGCCAAATTTGCAGTGAATCAGTGAAATGTTAAAGACAGTTACTGAGAAGATACTAAGTCTCTACTGTAATATTATTACACCATCAAATGCAGTCACAGTTGGAATGTGGGCAGATGGCCTCTAAATCTAGTAGAAACAGACATATTCCTGTTCTAGCCAATGGCATTCCTCAAGACATGGCAAAGGCCAGAGAGTGTAGCTGTACATTACCGGGAAATAGGAAGCCTCACAGGTGCCTGCATGTTGACAGCCAATAAGCTGACAGTGTTGTATGCTGTTAGCTGGCTGCCCTCTTGGCATACTGTACATTGTACGTCGGCCACTGTAGCCAAGTATAGCGTCAGTCTGCGTGTATTCCATTATGGCTGCTGTGACTTCAACTGCTGGTGGAGACCGGCGTATTTGGTGGGCCTTGGCAAGTCATGAGTGGAAGGTGTTGGAATGAGGTATAGAGTGTCCCTGAGCAGCTGGGAGGCCCCGCCCACTGCGGCAGGGCGGGGAACATCAGCTGTCCCCGGCCAGCCATAATAGGTGCCCTGAGTGGGCGGAAATCTTGCCTTACCCATTGTCGCCGAGAGTGGTCTGTCCAACTGTGGCATGTAGTGGGTGACCTGTGGGGGGAGGAAGACAGAGTGTGCCAGGGGAGAGGGAAGGGCTCTCCACTGTGTCGAGGTGTCAAGTTACTCTGTGTAAACCGGTGCTAGCAGGCCTGAATACCTGCTGGGTGTCACGGCAACCACACAACACCCTCCATCTTCCTCTCCCTCTCTGACTCCCCTATTTTGCTGTTCACCTCCCCCTCTATGGCTTCCTCTAATGTAATTATCTCTCAGTATGCACAGCTGGTCCTCCTCTATCAGCCCACTCATTGTAGTCACGTGCCCACAGCACGGGGCAGTCCTTGAGGTTGGTAGCGAGCCAAGTGCAGGTAGGGGATGGTTCCTGATATCGAGATGATTATCCACAGATGACAGTTTATGTTGAAAGTTTGATGAGAGAAATGCTCCCAAAATCGATTTATCATCTGTCATCCCTACTATCTCATCCTTCCTTCTCCCCCTTCTTGTCCTGTACCATGGATAATAGAGCTTACGGAACTCTACAATCCATACCTGTACATACATACGTACATGTTCCCCTAGTCCTCTGTGTATGTAGCTCTTTTCATCTAGTACTGTAGTGTATGTTACCTCGTCTGTTATTTTCCTCCCCCCTACCTGTGTGTGTAGCCCGGGCCATACGCTTGTGGAGTCTCAGTAGGTGGTCTATGAATATCGTTAATATCCCCGCACTCACTTGCACCATCTCTTGAAGTAGTGTGTGTGTGTGTGTGTGTGTGTCTGTGAGAGTTGGGTGTGAGAAAATGACACACGAAGCAAAAAGTGAGTGAGCTCATGGCACCTCCCTTTTCACTTCTTCTCTTGTCTGCCCTTCCCCCCACAGCTTATTTATTCTTAACTTTGTAAAAACTCCCTAGTCTTTCACTTACCATGTTTCAGTATTGGGGCAAAATTAACAAATCTTATTCCCCTGGTGGCAAATGACTGTTTACACCCGTCCTCTCACCTATACTGCATTCACTTTTCTCCCTCTTGCCTCTCTCACCTCTCTGTAACGCTGTTCTCCTTGCTACTGCAGCCAACCTGGCTCACCCAACTCTCCTCTCTCTTGCCTCTAACCTCTCCTGCTAAGTGGCTTCTTGGACCAGCACTGAGGTTTTCCTTGTCCCCACTAATGCCCAGCTACAACCTGCCGCTGTCTTTTTCCATTTCCATCCCTAACCAATCACTCTTACCTGTTCCCTTGACAACTTACCAGCTCTGCAGCCACCACTTGAACCTCTTCCCCTCTCCCTTCCTTTCTCGCTCTCCTTTCTCCTTTCTCTTCCCCCTTCTCTCTTTCCTCTCAGAGCCCCTCAGCAGAGCTACCCTCCACTGGACTTCAGACTGTTTGCCCTCTGTCAGCAGCTGCTCTCTTACAGCCAGGTTGGTGGTGTGTGTACGTGTGTGTGTGTGCACCCTCGCTGCTCATAACGATATTCATAGCTGGAGGTCCACCCAACCATCCAGGGTGCACAGGGGTCATTGTCCACAACTCATACTGAATCCTCAACTTTCACTATCCCTGCTGACCACTGCTCCACTCCCTTTGTTTTTACCTCTCTTCCTCCCCCCCCTCTCTCTCTATCTCCTTCTCCAGATTCCTGAGACCCACCAGAAGGCGTTCTGGGATCAGTTTATGATGGAATACTTCACAGAGAATGCCACGCTAACAGTTGGAGGAGACTTCGGCGAAGGCCACCGGAAATACAGTTAGTCCACTCTCGCTGGCTTCCCTTCCTCCCTCCTACCTGGCAGCCCATGTGGCTTCCCTCCCTCCTCCCTGGCAGCCCCTCTACACCTCTTGCTGCCCACTCCCTGAAAATCTCTGGACACAGAAATGCCATCCCTCCCTCTGGAATGTAATTTCAGGGCCTTCTTGCCAAAAGTGACACCTGGATCCTACAGTGCCCGGGACACCTTCCCGGATCCTACAGTGCCCGGGGACGCCTTCCCGCCTTGTCTTCCTCCTTTATTTCCTCCCTTTTCTCGCTCTCTCACCAGAATCCGCCTTATAGCTGAGTGTGTGCTAGTTTTGAGTCCAACATATCAATATTTCTGTAGCACTACAAGAGTTTTGGTGACACGTCACTCTCGCTTACCTTGTGGTATATATAGTGAGTGCTGCTGTAGTGCATGGCTTGTCTTAGCACCCAGACAGAGAGAATGGAGGTAGGAGGAAGGAGGTGGCTGAGCAGTGGTGGAGAAGTGACCTCAAGGTTTCCTCGAGTTGCCAAGGTCTGGATACTTGGCACAGGTTGCCAAGGACTAATTGGTAGACTTGGCAGCCGCGAGATCTCTGGCAAGGGGAGCTTTTCCCGGCAGTTCTCACAGGACACAGAGAAGGTGGGAATGTCGTGTGATTCCAGGCGGAGAGGTCATAGTCTGACAGTGTGGGCCTCGGGCAATCTTGCTATCCTCCTCCCAGCCAGTGAGAGGTGTTGCAGCTGCTGATACGCCGTCTGGCAACCTCTGGACCAGGACTTCCTTCATGTAGCCACACTACCACTTGAGGCCGAATCACTATTGCTTTTTTAATCCACATTGGCCCACTCATTCTTGCAATATTTTCCCCAATGCAAATACCTCTTACCATTAGAGCCTGTATATATAGACCAATCGTTTGCAAATCTTTCGTGCAGCCCTCCTCTCATCTCCTTTACCGTCCACTTCTCTCTGTCTGCCGGCTGCTAGCCACAGCCACTCGCAAATTACAGCAAGCGACTTTTTAATTATAATAACAGAGGGTAAGGCCGAGATAGTGAGTGTCCTCAAAATTATTTGTAGTGACTACTCAGGAATATTAGACTATTAGTTGGACTTCAAAACATAGGAGGCTCGTTATGATAATAGGTGCGATTCTCTCTCGGTGACTAACTGGGAAAGCGGAGGAGAGAGAATAAATGGAGGAAGACACATGGCTAGAGGGGAAAGGCTGTACCCTCGGGTCTCTGTAGCGCATCAGGGAAGTGTCCCGGGCACTTGTAGGGTCCATTTTGTGGCAAGAAGGCCTGAGATTACATTGCCAGAGGGATGGGATTGGTCTATTTCGTGATTCAGAGATTTTCAGGAGTGATGTGCGCAAGGGTTAGACGGGGCTGACCTAGTGGAGCGTAGGATGGATACGCCACTCGCGCTCTACGGTAGGAGGAGGAAGGGAAGCCAGCGCAGAGTGGAACTAACTTGTATTTCCGGTGGATTCCCGAAGTCTCCTCCAACTTGTTAGAGTGGCTTCTCTGTGAAGGTATTCGATCATAATATGATATCAGAAACGCTTCTGGTGGGTCTTCAGGAATCTGGAGAAGGGAGATTAGAGAGAGAGGGGGGGGAGGCAATGGAGAGGTAAAAAACAAAGGGAGTGGAGCAGTGGTCAGCAGGGATAGTGAAGTAGAGGATTCAGTATGAGTTGTGGAACAATGACCCTGTGCACCTGGTGGTTGGGTTGACTCCAGCTATGAATATCGTTTGAAGCAGCGAGGGTGCACAACAACACGCGTAACACACCACCACTTGGCTGTAAGAGAGCAAGCTGCTGACAGAGAGGCAAAACAGTCTGAAGGCAGTGGAGGGTAGCTCTGCTGGGGGCTATTGATGAGGAAAGAGAGAAGGGGGAAGAGAAAAGGAGAAGGAGAGCGAGAAAGGAGGGGAGAGGGGAAGAGGTTCAAGTGGTGGCGCAGAGCTTGGTTAAGTTGTCAAGGGAAGGTAAGAGTGATTGGTTATGGGATGGAATGGAAAAGACAGCGGCATGGTTTTGTAAGCTGGGCATTAGTGGGACAAGGAAAACCTCAGTGCTGGTCCAAGAAGCCACTTAGCAGGGAGGTTAAGAGGCAAGAGAGGGAGAGTTGGTGGCCAGGTTGGCTGCAGTGCAAGGAGAACAGCGTTGACAGAGGTGAGAGAGGAAGAGGAGAAAAGTGAATGCGTATAGGTTGAGAGGAGGGGTGTTAACAGTATTTGCACAGGGAATTAGATTTGTTAATTTTTGCCCCAATACTGAAACATGGTAAAGTGAAAGACTAGGGCGTTTTTACAAAAAAGTTAAGAATAAAATAAGATGTGGGGGGGAAGGGCAGCAAGAGAAGAGTGAAAGGGAGTGCCATGAGTCACTCACTTTTTGCTTCGTGTGTCATTTTCTTCTACACCAACCTCACCAGAACACACGCACCACAACACACACACCTACTCAAGAGATGGCTAGCAAAGTTGAGTGCGGGTGATATTAAACGATATTATAAAGCCACCTACGAGACTTCCAGCGTATGGCCGGGCTACACAAACAGGTAGGGGGGAGGAAATAACAGACGAGGGTAATACACTACAGTACAGATGAAGAGTTACATACCAGAGGACTAGGGGAACATGTACGTTGTACAGGTATGGATTTGTTAGAGTTCCGTAAGCTCTATTTAATCCAAGGTACAGGACAAGAAGGTGTGGAGAAGTAAGGGATGATGATAGTAGGGATGACAAGTTGAATAAATCGATTTTGGGAGCCATTATTCTCAATTCAAATTTCAACATAAACTGTAATCATGTGAGATTAAATCATCTCGATACTCAGGAACCATCCCCTGACCTGCACTTGGCTCGCTACCAAACGCTCAAGGATCCCGGCTGTGGGCACGTGACTACAATGAGTGTGTGTGGATAGAGGAGGACAGCTGTGCATTACTGAGAGATAATTACATTAAGGAGGAAGCCATAGAGGGGGAGAGTGAACAGGCAAAATTAGGGGAGTAGAGCAGGGAGAAGGAAGATGGAGGTGTTGTGTGGTTGCGTTGTGAACCCAGCAGGTATTCAGGCTGCTAGCACGGTTTAAGATAACTGACACCGACACAGTGGGAAGAGCCCTTTCCCTCGGCACTGCACACTCTGTTCTTCCTCCCCCAGGTTACCCACTTTACATGCCACAGTGGGACAGACCACTCTCGGCGGACAATGGTAAGGCGAAGATTTCCGCCCATCAGCGGGGGCGGGCCCCGCCCGCACTCCCCCCCCCCGCGCCCCAAAAAAAACAAACCCCCCCCACCCCCCGCCAAAAACCCCCGCCCACCCCCGCCGCCCCCCAAAAAACCCCCGCGCGGGCAAACCACCGCCGAACTTATTATTTGGGGCTGGGCCGGGGGGACAAAAGTGAATGTTTTTTCCGCCCCCTGCCCGCCGAAGTTGGGGGCGGGGGCCCCCTTTTTCCCCAAGCTTTTTTTTGGCTTCAAGGGGGGGGGGACAAAACTTTCTATTTTTTTTTTTTTACCTTCAAATTCCCAAAAAAACCAACCTTTTTTTCCCCCCAACTTTTTTCCCAATTTTTTTTTTGATTTTTCCCCCCCCCTTTTTTTCCCCTTTCACCCCGGTTTGTGTGTGTGGGTGGTGTGTGGGTTTTTTT